CACCAACGCTCCAAATATAGAAATTACGCATGATTAGATCCAGTAGGAAAGGAGTTACGACTGAAAAGTACGGCTGAAGAATCATTTCACCGACGACTTTTGAGCGCTACTGTATATCGTTTGAGCTCAACATGACCGAAACGCCTTCTCTACGTCGATAAAAGTATTTGGTACTCTGGCGATATTTCGATGAGTCTTGTAAGAGTGTGGATATGATCGATTGTACTGAACGCTCTCCGAAACCCTGCTTGCTCGCATCGCTGTCCTTCATCTGATATCTGCCAGTCCTATTCAGGATGACGCATGTGAAAAGCTCGTAGATTACAGAGAGCAGGCAGATTGCGCAATAGTTGTAGCGGATTAGGCCAATACCGTCGGAATTTCCCTTCTTGTACAGCAACACAGTCTTGCTAGTTTCCTACGAAGTGGAGACTTTGCCCTCCGACAGGTACCGCGTGAAGAGCTGAGCCAAGGTTTACAGCGCTACACAACCATACAATAATGTCCCTCTTTTGATTGGGGATCGTATGAATTCTACACTTAAGCAGACTAAGGGGGTATGAGAACATTCACCCAGAACTGGATGGACGCGGCAAACCGCGCGGCGAAATTCGTGGTGCGTAAGACGGCTTTGGCCCCTATCAATGGTGCACGAGTTCCAAGTAGATTGGATATGTAGGACCAACTGATGCTACTTACCTATCCCACTTCAAAATTGTGCCTCAATGATATGCGCCTGAGTCCTATTAATCACCACAAATTTCGCCGTGCAGTTTGCCGCGTCCATCCAGTTCTGGGTGAATGTTCCATCCCCCAGAATAAGGATTGAAGATTTGGTAGCATACGGATTCTCATAAGGATTCAATAAAGTGATAATTAAGTTAAGAATGGATAGCGGAAATGTGATACTGCAAGAAACGGGACGTTTTCAAATGCACCCACCACCAATAAATATACGAAGCCATGAAATGAATTACCTAATGATAAAATACTACAAAACAAATGACTAATAGTGCCCTTTCAAACTAGAGATTTCCAACTCATCAGAAAGGTGCTTTTGTCGAAGCTGGTTGGTTTTGGGATGGCCACCATTTAACCGACCAAACGCAAACGCCATGATTTATAACGCTTACCTTCTATAATGGTTATAATAGGAAATCTGATTAGAAAAAACAAGTATCAGTGGAACGATGGACGTTAGGAACAATTGGGGTGACTTCCGCACACTCCGGCTACCGAGCCGTGGATCGAACCCGGGAATGGTACTCGTCGAGGTCAACCAAGCTTACTAACCAATTAACTGTGCACCGGCTCATTACCGCAGGTGATTGCATAAACCACATACGTATTCAATGACCACTACTAGTCTAAATGGAAGTCGAATGCAAGGCGCATCCAAAAAACGGGATCGTTCAGTGCTAGAAGACTTTATCCCTCTACTACATGTACTGCATCGAGGATCTGTCGAAATCAAACTTCGATTGGGCATACAAATAGTCACGAAGAAGTCTTTTCTTCAAGGTATCAATCGGAAATTGCCGGATTGTGCATCTGTTAGCTTCGATTTAGATAGTTTACGAATAATCAGAAATTGGTATAGAAAAGAAAAAAAGTGACATGCATATACGCACAATGTCTTAACTGAGTTATCAGTATAATCAAAAGGTGCTACTTGGGGATACACTAGATTATCCCTTCAGGTTAGCAAATCAAAGAATAATTCCCTATCAAGTTCATGTTTTCAGAGAAACGAGACCATACAGGGGTACTCGAATGAGTAGAAACTTCCAGAAGAATGTGGTCAGATTGTCTGAGAAGTAGTATGCCTTTCCCACGCTACCCATTACAGTAGTAGGTCGTACTAATTGAATCCAATCGGCGCTGATATTTCTATCGGCACAATGTGAGTACAGTGGGCCTTAAAACATTACACTATCGACAGGTCGTACCTACAACTTCACGTCCCATACGAACTTTCCAAATAGTTCTAGAATCAACCCAGTTTTTTGCCGGATCGCCATCGATGTAGATTACTTGGAAGTCACAAAGATTAGCCAAAAGTATAAATGGGGAGGAGCTTCTCCAGTGGGCGATAGTAAGGAGGGCGATTTTCTGTCCAAAAATATTCCGTGCACGTGTAGCGCAAATTAACCGCAATCAACCGTATTGTTCGACTCATAAAAAAAGCAAAAATCGCTGGAAGTTCAATACAATGCATACCAGAGATATGTGGAGGCCTAGAATTTGTAATTGTTATATATTTCTTGAAGTTGTGTGATTTTGTCAAGTTTGTGAATTCATCCTGAATACCATGTTCATTTTTTGCAGCATGATACCTACACCAATCGATTCCTCTATTGAAAAAAAATCTTAAGAAACTCCATCTCTCAGCAGTTTATGAGTTGCTTACATTTTTATAAATGAGAAAATTCCTTTGTATTCAAGATATGTGGTTCTAAACAAATAGCAAAATCATCAGCTAGATTAAGATCGGTAGGTCGGTTATTCTGATTAGCTCAAACATTTTATAAGTATACCCTAAAACAAAATCGCCCTAGCTCTTCGGCCATCGTTCTGCAAAGTCAAAATTGTCCCTCACTTAAGTTAAGGCCCATTGGTTGTCGAAGTGCACTTGTCAAATTGTGATCCGATAGGTTTTCAATGGGAATGAAGAGAGGCGAATAGGTCTTCCAAGTCACTATTCTAACTCTTCCAGGACTGGGATCATTCTCAAACAGATGAGTAGACAAGAAATCAGTAGAACCCACGTGGTTTTCTATATCTCCTTATTCAGAAATTTTGCAATCCAAATATGTATCAATCGCTACAAAAGGAGGGATGGGGGGCCATCAGAGTGTTCTGACTTCGTCACGTAAGATGGAACTCCCGGACACATTACATGGAAAATAAAACGAAATTGATAAATAACTAAGAAAATAAATAAGTAGTTGAGCAGTCAAATAAATAATTGGCGCTAGTATAAGAAGAACGTAAATGAAGGAGAGGTAGAAATTTAGAAGAAGCAAAGAATTGGACGCGAGCCCAGGCTGTTAAGAAGGAAATCATTGCATTTGCTTGTAGACTGGCCTGTTCCGCGGTATCTTATCGTTTCCCCGTTTCGATGATTCAGGAAGCATTGGTTTTCTTTGCTTGAACTCAGACGAGGTTGATAAGAAGTCTTTATTCCGGCTTACATGGCGATTCAGGAAGCAATACGGTTCAAACAGGAGGACAAGAAGGTAACGTTATTGAGAAAGATGGAAGGATATCCAGACTGGATAAGGTTTTCCTGCAATCAACAACACCGATAATGCCAAAAATGTGCATGATAATGCCGACCACTGAGCACTTGATTTTCTTCACACAACAGTAGAGAAATGAAGTTGCTTTTATTTATTAAAAGTTGCTTTTTCAAAGAACAACTCAGGTGTAGAACTGAATATGAATACACTACGCTAGCTCCCACAGTCCGTTTAGTTTACCAAATTCGCATCACTTCACTAGGAAAAAGGGTGAAAGTAGAATGCAGGCGCATCCTTGGACACAATTAATCAATCTCTGAAGAAGTTTGTCTTTTCGAAATTTTACTCGAATCGATAGCATAGACTCGGAAAGCACTCATCTGTTCTTTGATCAAAGTTGTCTGCTCGAGTCACATTGTAAATTAATTTTTTAGTAATAAGTTAATGAAGAGTGGTTATGATAAATGTTTTTTCATTATATTCTCTATGTGGTATTCTCTTCGAAGTGCAACACTCGTTCTGGACTTTATCACCCACCACCATCCCTACCAACTGTTAGTTGTTCATTAATTAAGATGCACCGAGCTGAGCACCTAATGTATACTCGGCCCACATACGGTACAGCTGTGGGACGGTCAGGGACCATCGATGGCTCATAAACTTACCTGGCTGGGGGCGTCTCGCGATCATGAAGGCGGGACCCCCATGGTGAGACTCTTGCATTGCACTTTAGCTTGGGTTGA